TGTTGAGCTTTCTCTTGCACCGGGAGGCCCCCAAACAGGGCACAGTATTTGAGGTGCAGCCCACTTCCCTCAACCTGCAGGTGCCTCCTGCCATTCAGATATAATGCAGGAAGGCAAAGAATTCTCATTCGTTGCAATGAAAAAATTTCTGTCATCTCCCAACAGCTGGTGATTTAGATTTACTGTGGAAGCACGAAGAGGGTTGATTCTTTTAAGATGCAATGTCATAAATGTACCTGAACTGTCAATGAGTTAGAACTATCAATTGGATCAGAGCAGACTTAGTGCATTACTAGAAAAGCAGAGGGAAGGCCAAAGGAAGGAAAAAAGTAAGACTTGGCACACATGCTATACAAAGGCAATTTGCATGAATAGCGACAATAGCAAAATACTGTCATTTGATGGTTAGTTACAGCTACTTTCTTGACATAAAAGTTACAGAGCAGGTTACAAAAAGAACAAGAAAATCCTTTCCTCTCCTCTTTTTGCCTTGCTGTTGAGTGGCTGTATTTTTCTCTAGCTAGTTTCTGTGGTTTTTTTTTTTTTTAATTGCCATCCTGAATGACAGAAGGCCTCTGCTCTAAAGTAAGATCTAATATATTTTTAAAAATTGCTTCCAAGGCAAAAGCCACATTCCTATTCAAATTCAGTCAAAAGGAAACATTACTGTTAAAACAATTTCCTGTTTATGGCAGTAAACATTAGAAAAAAACAATCAAAAACCACATCCCTTTCCCCATAATTTTATGGGAGATATTCTGCTAAAAAAGTATTCAAAATGACTTATAGTAAATATAATAACAGTATAACCTTGAACACTGATGTGAAAAATTTCAACTTCCATCATGTTGACAACCATTTAGTATATAAATAATATCCAGTCTCCTGAATGGATAATTTGGTCAACAATATCAAGATTCCAAAGCCACTTCTGTGGCTCAAGACCAAATTTAACTACTTTCACTCTTTTAAAATACCATTTCAAAACACACTCATGAATCAAGTCATTGTTTCCTAATTGCTTACATATATTATAATTTGATTCATTTCCTCTAGTGCTAATTTAACCATTTATTATTTATTTATTGGAGCAGAAGCATAGGACTGTTGCTTGAACTATTATACTTGGCAAATTCTTTGTTTTCCTAACAGGAAACCCAGGGAATTAAAAGTGAAAATTCCTCTTCTTTCAGGTTCGCAACTGTTTCTAGATTTTCCATTTAGCCTAAATTAAGGGATTTTGTAGCAAACCAAGTTGAGTCTATTTCAGACTGCTTTTTGATACTTTAAAATATTTTTGTTTGTCCAAATTATATACTTCAGTCACAACTGCATCATTAGTTAGCAATTGCAAAGCTGATCAGGTACAACTCAATTTTCTCTAACTTTGGCTTATGCTGTAATATAACAAACCCTTTCCTACTTCATACAAAATGCAGAAGACGTTGCCTTCAGTTCTGCCCACCCTACTACTCAAAAAGTAACATAACTGAATGGGTTCAAGGAATAGGGGAAAAAAATATAGACATCACCTGTATGTAAAGAGAGACTCTATACTGAAAGTTAACTTTCCACATCACCTCTTCTTATTTTTGAATGCCTGATTTTCTATGAGAATTTGTTTTATTCCTGGTGTACTGGCAGGTAGCGGCACTTGTAATGTACGAGGAGAAAACAGAGCAAGTGTTCGAGAAAGATAAAGCCCCAGGCACCTCTGGCAGCAGCTGCAGCCACTGCAACCATTCTGTCTCGTAGGTTATATTTGGATAACTCTGATCCTTCTCTCATTTCTTTTATATTTTTCACAGTACTACTTTTTCAATAACCTTGAGAAAACATGTGACTACATAACTAGACCTATAGTTGTAACTGTTTGTGCTTTGTAAGGTTCTTTGCAGTTGAATAAATAAATTGCATATATAAATGTTATATATAACTTTTTAGTAGAATAGCATCTTGTATTATTATGCTTTGAATGTCTATCTTCTCCCTTTCCTATTTGTTAAAAAATGCACAATCCTCATTCTTGTAAACTGATTTTTGGCTGATGTCATTTAATGGCAAGTTTTTATAGGCAAGGATTTTTCTTAGAATAAACATTTGCCTGAAATCTAGTATAAGATGATAACAACTGGCAATAGTTGGTGCTTTTAGAAGACAATCCTAAAAAACTCTAATATCATAAGCGAAATAACAACTTTGATACAGAGGAATAATGGTACTCCGTATACTTCATAAAAGATGTTGAACATCTGTTTGGTACTTTTCTTGATTCTTTTGATTTAGGATGGAAACGAAACTTGCATTCTGTCTGTGAACAGAATGTGTCGTACCTGCTTTGTGTGCACTCAGTGAGCAGCTCTTAATGACTATTTTAGTTTCTGTTCACCACGGCAGTTCCAGACTACATTTCTATTCTTGTTCTCTTTTTATATTCCCACTTTATTTTTTTTCTACAGTATTAAAAAAGGATTATATAATATGATGTACTAAATGCAGAACCTTTTCCATTGCCAATAAATATTCAAAAATACTTTGCATACGGCCTATGAGCAGAGTTGGTGAAATTGTAATGGGATGACTTAAAATCCTTCCTCTTTCCTATACTGAAGTATAATCTAGTCAACTGGGTGGTATAGCAAATTGTCCTGACATGTTTATATTAATGTATATTTAAATGAGAACAAGAAAGAAATAGTCAAATTTATGTTAAAGACTTCTACAGGCTTAACAGCATCTTACTAAATATATATGTCAGCTTACTCTAATCCTCCTGCTCCTAACATGTTCCGCGGTCTCAGCATGGTGCCCGTAATGCTCTCGTATGCGATGAGCGATTGCCTGCGAGAAGGGTGCCGACAGTCCTGCACGTTGTTCAATGAAACTTTTTATCTGGTCTTAGGGAGACAGAACACCATCTTTCTCCAATTTGCATCACAAACCTTTAGCTTCTTTTGACATCGGTAACACTGGCTATAGCAACTTCCAATAATGTGTCACCACACACACAGTGTACACGTTCTCTGTTCTCACCCTGCTCCATCAGGGACGAACAGGCTTCTCCAATTTGCTAGTCTGCTACAAATGAAGGCTGAACTGCTTTTGGAAAGAGAAGACTTCACCTGAGGCTAGAAGCCTTTGAAGGCACTGAGGACATATATTAGCAAAACACTTAAATATGTCCCTGTGCTAATGATATATTGAAGATTACTCTTCTGATTTTGAATCTGTCTTGTAATAGAGTAATAATTCATAATATAGTCTTCTATCAGCCTGAAGCTGTCAGTAAGAGATATTTAACCATCAACTATTTTAATTTCAGATTGTTTCAAATAGATTGCACAATGCCTCTTCCCATTTTATGAACTTTCTAAAGTTTTTCAGATTAAAACTCTTTCAAAATACATCAATGAGTGTAGCTCCACTTGTATATTTAATCTATACCATATATTCTAGAGATTTGAAAGTATGTATTTCTTACCAATGATGATAATGATAAAATTGTTATAGTGATGGATGTTACTATGACAGTAGATAGATCTGAATACAACAAAAAACAAATAAGTAAAAATCACAACTCTTTCTCTACCTATGCTATTAGTAGAGTAACATGAATTGTATCAAATATTCATGTATACTGTTCATATATTTTAGTCAGCAATATCATTAACAAAACAAATGAAATTTATTTGAAAGTAATTATTTATGGCCTACGAAATATCAAAAAGGGAGCAGGCAAAAGGATAATGTTAATCCCATGCCAAGAACATGTTTTATCAGGTTTCCTTTTAGTCCTTAAACAAGATGTAGTAAAAACAACAACATTCTGTCAGGCTATATGTTCATTCCTTGTTTCTTGGATTTAATATGCTTACTCTATGCCACATTTTTATAGCTTTCAATTCCTGTACTTTAAATCTATTAAACAATGTCAAGTTGAATTTTCTTCAAAAACTGCTGCAGGTTAAGAAAAAAATAGGACAGTAGAATATTCGAGGGCTAACATTTATGTCAGCTAATTAATATAGATCAGTTGTGGTTTTGCAAGGATTTTTTTATGTGCATGCATGTTTAAGAAAAATATTATAGACTAAGGATCTCAAGGATCAGATTTTCCTTCTGAAATCAGTAGAAAAATTCTTAACTGATTTCAGTACAAGGAGAATCTACCAATTTTGTAGGCCTAACAGACAAAAGAGATTTCTGTGCACTTGCACAGTGTTAGTTTTTCAAAAATAGAGCACAACACAGAATACAGATATACAATATGATGAATAAATGACACTTTATAGTTCTTGTACTGTATCTTGTGATTTCTCCAGGGAATCAGATATTAAAAAAATCTTAATATTGGAAAAAAATAGTAAATTTGCTCAGTATACAGGTTCTACTTAAAAAAAGTGGTTTGAAGTCACCCTGTGTTCAAAAGACACCCTCTAATCTATAGGATTCAATATCATATACTTCTTGCTTTTTAATGCTATTTCTCTATATTTCATTAATTCTTGAAAAAGTATCCGTTAATACATTAAACATTTACATTTAAAAATATTTCTAGATCATGACAATCACATTTTGTCATCTGAACTCTGTTCAAAGACTTTTACGTAGAAAATTCATGTTACCTATCTCTGACTCTGAGGCTGCTACGTGGACTTCTCAGGTATCGTGACAATTTCTCTTGTATAGAATCACAGCACAATTCAGATTGGAAAGACCTCGTCTAGTCCAACCTTTTATTCAAAGCAGGCTCAGCAGATGAGACCAGACCAGCTTAGTCTATAGGACTATATGTAGTCTGGACTTGAAAACCACCAAAGATGGAGTTTTCTATTTGAGAATTATGCCTGGCAACCAGAAAAAGAACAAATATATCTTAATCATGCCTATCCTCAAAGGCATTTCTAAAATACCTTATTCCAAATAAACTTTATGTAGAAGTAAAGAAAATTTACCTCATGACTAGGATTAACACTTTTTAGCATCATCAAAAGTCTTACCTGCTTGTAGTGTTTGAGCATCAAAGAAATCCTTCCTGAAAAAAGCTCTAGAAGACAAAGGAATTGCTCTGCAGTCTTCAGAAAGTTTCTCAACAGCTTGTCTAAACAGAGCAACTAAGTCACGAAGAGGTCCATCTAAATCGAGGGGAGAAGTGGAAGGTGATAGCAAGCTCAGGCGTACAGAGATGGAAGCACAAGACGCAGAACTGGACTCCACAGATTCACATTCAATTTCAAAGCCCCCTGACAACATCTTCATTGTAAAATGTTTTCTTTGCATTGGATTGTCAACTACTGCAATGACATGCCATTCAATGGCAGCATCTCTGGGTAAGTGAGATATTACAACCACAGCAAGCATCCCACACACTGTAGCTACATCATCATATGTCTCTGAGTCTTCTTCCTAAAAAATAAACAAAATATTGTGGGTATTACATAACTGTTAGAAAATAATGATGCTCATTCTCAGTTGAGATTTTCAAAAAGTCTGACAGAAAAGTTATTTAATGCGGACTGCATTTTTCCCTAATCTTTCTTTGTTACCATTTTAAACAATTATGAATTATTAGCAAAGCACATTGATTTATTTTAAAGGTTGGAATATTAAGGATACAGTAAAGATACAATTCACATAGTTCAGAACAGCAGAATGGTCTGAACAAACCTTCCTAAAAGACAAGAACACTTCCTTAATAGCAAGGCTGTTTTTCAAAATAACCAGAAACTGGGAATACGTAGTTTTATACGTCAAACAACATACCTACTTAGACTTAATAAGCTACCTCTAAGCTACTACTCTTCTAATGGTATTAAAGAAGTAGGATATGTCTTCTGCTTACTTTCTTGGTAAAAATTTGAGTACAATTTGCAAGGTAGCATGTTAAAAGGCATAACAATTGAATATAACGTTTCAGAATGCTGAAATGTTCTTCCATGATACAAAGAAAGAAACTATGAATTTGTAGCCATTTCAACCTAAACTAATCGTACTGGTGTACATTAAAGAGCATTATCTTTGAATCTTAACACACCTAAGATCAGTTCATAAAAGATTTATCTCATCCATCTATTGTTGCTGGGTATTTAGTCATTTTTCATCTGAATAAAAAAGAAAAGAATCTTTACAACTTTAAACCAGGAACAGCATATTTAGGTCTGCCATTATCTTAAGGACAAAAATCCTAACATGTATTATATGGCAAAGTCTATTTATAGAAAGCAATTGAATTTATGAAATACATATCCTCTCAAAGTATTTCCATTAACATTATCTGCTTTCTGAATATTTTTATTTGAAGATTTTTAAATATTTATTCTGGCCAGCAGATATTTTTGTCTTACTTTTTCCTCCGTTTTTTAAACATAGATCATATGTTGAACATTTTAATTTTAGTGACTTACACCTTCTTCTTGGTGTACACAGATAATTTTTTTTTTATACACCAATTTGCTTACACTGCAGTCTTTACTGGTAATACTGCCCATTGCCTGACCTCTGAATGGAAAAATAATAACAAAGCAAAACTGTCATTTTCCCCAAAGTCGATAAGGCCATATAACTCTCAGTACCTTCAATTCACAAGCTCAATTTTCATCCACTCACACTTGACTTTGAGAGGAAGGAATAATGATGGGTTACAGGCACTTTATTTCAAAATTCACTCGCAAAGTTATTGACAAGCATTTCCCACAGAATATCTTTACTGCTTGACCCTCGTGAGCTGTTTACATGAAAAATGCACTTACTTCTATATTAACGATAGTGGAGTCTAATTCTATACCAAACATGTAGCAATTGCTTTAGTATTTATGTTTTTGATATGGGAACAAAAATAGCGATAATTTGTCTCAAATTGCAGTCACTTCAGTCATAATAAAATCTCACTGAGTACTGTTTGCTTTCAGTACTTTCATTAGGTAAGCTGGGCTGTTATTAAGGTACCAACACATAAATGTTATATTAGCACTTAACAGGAGCACAGTATTCTCCTCTAGGAGATGAATTCTAACCTTGTCAATATAATTCTGCTCTGAGTGCTGTAAAACAGTTTGAAAAGATGAAATACTGGAGCTTTGCACCAAGAGGAAAAAAAAAAAAAAAAAAAAAAGTCATGCTCATTGAGGCTTAAAGGCCACTTTGCTGGCCCAAGGTGCTGAGGTACCGTTTAGAAAAAAAGACTAAAGAAGCTCTCTCAGGTCATGTCAAGCATTGAAACAAACTTTTCTACTTCTCTGTACTTGTCGCAGGTTGTTAAATCAATTACTCAGTATTTCTGCTTGCCTTCAGCTGCCATTTAGAGGATGAAAAAATACACAAAAATTAAGGCCAGGATAAAGTACATTTCCAAATTTAACAAATCAGAATCATTCTGAGTGAATGACTATACGCAGTACACCTGCACAGTGCCGTAAACTTCCACTGGCACTCATAACCTTTAACTTAAGGGTTTGTGCAAAGCTTTAGCGACGAAGCTACTGGGGACTAACAGTCTTTCATCAACTGTTACGGACTCTTACAGAAATGCTTCCAACAACGACCTCACCTGACTTATCAGCAATTGCTGATTTTCAAGAAATCGCTGACATTTGTGTTATACATGGATGTTGCATTTAGTCTTAAAAGTGTGCTTGAGTTAGCTCTAAATTTACGACTGCCTTAAACAGCTGAATATCTTTATGACAGCCTGCCCAGTAAATAACAATGAACATAAGGTCTGCTAGGGAATTCTATTCATATAATGCTAGAATAATATGAGAAAGCATATAATTAAAGACAAAGTCTGATTATTTTACTGCTAGCTTGCTCTTTATAACTGAGTCTACACTCTCGTCTGGGAGACTCAGCACTTTTGGCAGGTAGCTCTGATACTATGAAGAAAAGCAAGTCATTAGGGTTCTTGTATGATGATATCAATGTAGTCTATTCAATAAATGAGTACAGGTTTTGGTTCAGGCCTTCTTTCATATCTTCACAGCCTTGGAAAAGGAAATCCAAAGCAGAAAAAGGCTGTCTTGTAAATCTTGAAAAAGAAACACTAAACAGTTCTTCAGAAATTCTGTAAAGACAGAACCCCATAAAGTTTGGAAAAGGAAGACAAAATATCCAGATTTTTCTACTAAACACATGTATCTACATCATCCCCTATCTTCATGATCTTTGAACATTTCCCATAAAAAAAAGGACTTTCCTAATACTGAAGAAAATACTGATATCCTTGTGGTAATAAAACCCATTTATCACAATTTCAGGGGAGAAACAGAAGATAAGTAGTAGTTTTTAGGAGGACTGGGAACATGATTCTATTATTTATCTTCCAATTTGTAATCCCAAGGAAGGACTGATACCATATTACTGTAAACACTAAGGAGAGTGCCATGCTAAACTATGCAACTTCTTGGAAAGCCTGCATGGACTGCTTAATGAAGTATCACAGCAGTTGACATCAGTCAGGAAAGCAAATAAAATGTTACGCATTCTTAGGAAAGGAATAGAGAATAAGATGGATAACACTGTGACACTGCAGAAACTGCTCACCTGCACCTTGAATAAAGTGCACAAATCTGGATCTCTCACCTGGAAAAGGATCTAGAATATGTTTAGAGAAGAATATAGATGATCAAAAGCTATGAACGAAGAGACTGAGAAAGTGACGATGGATTTACAAAATCACATATGATGTACAAAAGGTGGATAAGAATTGACTTTTCCCTCTTGTCTTTTAGTATAAAAGCTAGAGACCATAAAATGGTGGTAAGAGCATAGCTACAGAAAAGTGGATTGGGGGACCAGGATGGTGGGTGACACATGGCCTCCTCTGAGAGAGTTTTACATTCTTCTGGGATATTCCAGATTGATTTTATGCATTAATAATCTGGACAGAGTTAAGCAGAGGCATACAGAAAATAGCTTTGAAGGGAGAAATGCTTTTTCAGCTAGCTGACCAAGGTATTCATACCAGTCTTGAGCCGGAAGAAGTATGATCTTATAATGTCGCTGCAAGTGGAGAAAAATTAGTTTAATCTGGAAAATTGAATGGTTACTCTTGGACTCTTTTTGAGGAAGGAAACGTTTCCTCTTCTCCCTTTTTCCCCTAAGGGAATCCTGGGGAGCTGGAATCCCAGTGAGAGAGGACAGGAATATTTTCAGTCCACGCTTACACCGATGCAGACAGCAGTGCCAGTATGAACAATCAAATGGAACTTATAGCACCAGGCAGTGCCCAGCAGAAAGGGGATCTGCTCACAAACTCAACTTTGTGATACAGAATGATCTTAAATCTTAAATTACCTTAAATCTGCAAAAGCATAGGGATCACTGGCTGGAAATAGAAGGTATTGGAGACCATGGCTGAAAAGTTATTGAAGGCCACACACTACAGCTATCAAATGAGATCCAATTCAGTGGTGTATCTAATCACGAGAAAAGAGAATGGTAATTCTTACTCAATTTCTTTACTCATGTCTAGGCTCAGGCTGAAAAGATGCCCTAGCTAACACTTTTATGAAAATGTTTAATGCAGAAATACAAAATCTTTCACATAAAGAGAAGGTTAACAGTGTGTCTTAATTTTTAGAATTGTAATTAAACTATATCTTCACATTAATGTAAAAATGGTTATCTGAACTGCTGTGTGCATAATGCTTTCCTGAGTTTTGCTTAAATTCAAGAATTATCTCAGTAGTTCATAGCATTACTCAGTTCCTTACATTCTGCACATCTTAGTTCTTGGTGAAAAATCACTCTGCTTTCATTGTGCCTACTCAGAGGAGCTCCGGGAATCCTGTTACTTACACTGACGAACGCCTGGTGCACGACAGAACCGCTACAAAACAAAGTGGAAGCTGAAGTAAGGGGCACAGCTAAATGGAAAACACAGTGCTGTAAGTCCTATAAACCAGCTTAGAAAGAATGTGGTTTTAAAAGTGTTAACCTTAAAAGAGAATCTCTTAAACTAAAAAGGCATTTTATCATTAAAAATGAAAAATCAAAGCCAGACCTAGCAACATGCCAAAAAAGAGGAATGAGTATATGACCATATTCAAATTCGTTCCATTACATAAGCATTTAGCAAATTTACTTAACAATTTAATTTAAAAAAGTACATGTTTTGCCTATTAACATTTATTATATACATTTGTTTATTTGACTTCCTGCATCTCTTCCAAAAGAGAAATACTCTTTGTTGTATAAGAACTGAAGTGTACCTACTTCACAGCTGAATATGGAATCAGACTGCAAGAGAAAAAGATGAATGCGTAATTGCTATCTCTACAAAGAACTGACTTAGAGAACAAAAAAGGAAGATACTGTGATGTTACTTTCAGAAGCTGAGTTTATGAAAACCTTCGATGGCATGCATTATTACACCATTATACTGGCAAGATTAATGTGCCTTTAAATAA